AAAACTCAAAACCTACCAGAAGACAAGAAATAACTAAGACCAGAGCAGAACTGAAGGAGACAGAGACACAAAAAACCCTTCAAAAAATCAATAAATCCAGGAGCTGGTTTTTTGAAAAGATCAACAAAATAGACCACTAACCAGATTAATAAAAAAGAAAAGAGAGCATACTCAAATAAATGCAATAAAAAACGATAAAGGGGCTATCACCACAGATTCCACAGAAATACAAACCATCAGAGATTATTACAAACAACTCTATGCACATAAACTAGTAAACCTGGGAGAAATGGATAAATTCCTGGACACTTGCCTCCTCCCAAGCCTAAACCAGGAAGAAGTCAAAAACCCTGAATAGACCAATAACAAGGGCAGAAGTTGAGGCAGCAATTAAAAGCCTACCACCCAAAAAAAGCCCAGGTGCAGATGGGTTCACAGCTAAATTCTACCAGACATACAAAGAGGAGCTGGTACCATTCCTTCTGAAACTATTCCAAACAATCTGAAAAGAGGGAATCCTTCCCAAATCATTTTATGAGACCAACATCATCCTGACACCAAAACCTGGTAGAGACTCAGCAAGAAAAGAAAACTTCAGGCCAATATCCATGATGAACATAGATGCAAAAATCTTCAATAAAATACTGGCAAACTGATTGCAACAGCACATCAAAAAGCTTATCCACCATGATCAAATAGGCTTCATCCCAGGGATGCAAGGCTGGTTCAACATACACAAGTCTATAAACATAAATCACCACATAAACATAACCAAAGACAAAAACCACATGATTATCTCAATTGATGCAGAGAAGGCCTTTGACAAAATTCAACAGCCCTTTTTGCTAAAAACCCTCAATAAACTAGGTATTGATGGAACGTATCTCAAAATAATAAAAGCTATTTATGACAAACCAACAGCAAATATCATACTGAATGGGCAAAAACTGGAAGCATTCCCCTTGAAATCTGGCACTAGACAAGGATGCCCTCTCTCACCACTCCTATTCAATATAGTACTGGAAGTTCTAGCCAGAGTAATCCGGCAAGAAAAAGAAATAAAGTGTATTCAAATAGGAAAGGAGGAAGTCAAATTATCTCTATTTGCATACGATATGATTGTATATTTAGAAGACCCCATCATCTCAGCCCAAAATCTCCTGAAACTGATAAACAACTTCAGTAAAGTCTCAGGATACAAAATCAATGTGCAAAAATCACAAGCATTCCTATACACCAATAATAGACTTAAAGAGAGCCAAATCAAGAATGAACTGCCATTCACAATTGCTGCAAAGAGAATAAAATACCTAGGAATACAACTAACAAGGAATGTAAAGGACCTCTTCAAGGAGAACTACAAGCTCAACGAAATAAGAGAGGACACAAACAGATGGAGAAACTTTCTATGCTCATGGTTAGGAATAATCAATATCGTGAAAATGGCCATACTGCCCAAAGTAATTTACAGATTCAATGCTATCCCCATCAAGCTACCAAAGACCTTCTTCACAGAGCTGGAAAAAAACACCTTAAAATTCATATGGAACAAAAGAGAGCCCGCATAGCCAAGTCAATTCTAAGCAAAAAGAACAAAGCTGGAGGCATCACACTACTGGACTTCAAACTATACTACAAGGCTACAGTAATCAAAACAGCATGGTACTCATACCAAAACAGAGATGTAGACCAATGGAACAGAACAGAGGCCTTGGAGGCAACACCACACATCTGCAACCATCTGATCTTTGACAAACCTGACAAAAACAAGCAATGGGGAAAGGATTCCCTGTTTAATAAATGGTGTTGGGAAAACTGGTTAGCCATGTGCAGAAAGCAGAAACTGGACCCCTTCCTGACACCTTAGAGTAAAATTAGCTCCAGATGGATTAAAGACTTAAACATAACACCTAACACCATAAAAACCCTAGAAGAAAATCTAGGCAAAACCATTCAGGACATAGGCGTAGGCAAGGACTTCATGACCAGAACAACAAAAGCATTGTCAACAAAAGCCAAAATAGACGAATGGGACCTAATCAAACTCCACAGCTTCTGCACGGCAAAAGAAACAGTCATTAGAGTGAATTGGCGACCAACAGAATGGGAAAAAATTTTTGCAATCTACCCATCTGACAAAGGGCTAATAGAATCTACAAAGAACTAAAACAGATTTACAAGAAAAAAACAAGCCCATTCAAAAGTGGGCAAAGGATATGAACAGACACTTTACAAAAGAAGACATACATGAGGCCAACAGACATATGAAAAACATATGAAAAAATGCTCATCATCACTGGTCATTAGAGAAATGCAAATCAAAACTACATTGAGATACCATCTCACGCCAGTTAGAATGGCGATCATTAAAAAATCTGGAGACAACAGATGCTGGAGAGGATGTGGAGAAACAGGAACACTTTTACACTGTTGGGAGTGTAAATTAATTCAACCATTGTGGAAGATAGTATGGCAATTCCTCAAGAACCTAGAAATAGAAATTCCATTTGACCCAGCAATCCCATTACTGGGTATATATCCAAAGGATTATAAATCATTCTACTATAAGGACATGTGCACACGAATGTTCATTGCAGCACTGTTTACAATAGCAAAGTCCTGGAACCAACCCAAATGCCCATCAATGATAGACTGGACAGGGAAAATGTGGCACATATACACCATGGAATATTATGCAGCCATAAAAAATGATGGGTTCGTGTCCTTTGTAGCGACATGGATGAACCTGGAAACCATCATTCTCAGCAAACTGACAACAAGAACAGAAAGTCAACACCATGTGTTCTCTCACTCATAGGTGGCTGTTGAACAATGAGAACACATGGACACAGGGAGGGGAGCATCACACACTGGGGTCTGTTGGGGGGAAATAGGGGAGGGACAGCGGGGGGATGGGGAGTTGGGGAGAGATAGCATGGGGAGAAATGCCAGATATAGGTGATGGGGAGGAAGGCAGCAAATCACACTGCCATGTGTGTACCTATGCAACAATCTTGCATGTTCTTCACATGTACCCCAAAACCTAAAATGCAATTAAAAAAACACACATATATGACACTTAGAATTGTACCTGGCACATTAATAAAACCTTGTACATTAAAAAAAAATCTGCATTTATAAACAGAAATTTCTTTAAATGTTTAAAGAAAACCTAGTATTTTAATTAGTAACCTCATAAACTACCTGTTAATTGTAAAGCCCTAAGTAACCATAAATGGTTTTTCCTCAAGAATACAAACTCTTCTTACAGCACCATTTAAAATTTTTTTTATTTTTGAGACATGGTCTCGCTCTGTTGCCCAGGCTGGAGTGCAGTGGTACGATCTCGGCTCACTGCAACCTCTACCTCCTGAGTTCAACCAATGCTCCTGCCTCAGCTTCCTGCGTAGCTGAGGCTACAGGCATGCGCCACCACATGCAGCTAATTTTTGTAATTTTAGTAGAGACAGGGTTTCACCATGTTGCCCAAGCTGGTCTCTAACTCCTGACCTCAGATGATCTGCCCACCTCGGCCTCTCAAAGTGCTGGGATTACAGGCGTAAGTGCCTGGCCCACTTTTAAAATGAAGCAGAAGAAAATTCCCAGTTACAAATCCTACCCAAATTATAAATTCCCTATAAAGGAACCTATGGAGAAATGAGGAGTAGAATGAAGCGAGTGGACATCAGAGCAGGAGGATGGGAAGACACCCCTGCAAAAACCTCTGCCTCTCAACTCAAAATGCCAATGAGAATTTTTGTAGAGGTAAAATACTGAATACAGCCACAGAGCCTTATAAAATAACAAGGTGGATTACTTTACTAACATAGAAAGATGGGCTGTAAAACAATGTACAGCATGGTGTCTCCTGGGGCCCAGAGACTCCCCTCTCCCTTCATCAGCCTCTGTCATCTGTGTTTGCCCCCAGCAGCAACACTCCCACCCCTCCTCCTCCTCCTGGTTGTCACTCCCTCCAAGTATCCCCTCCCTGCCTCAAGAGTGTCTCTATCTCCGGCCCCCTCTCCCTCTCTCCTCAATTTCCTCCAGGGCAGTGCCTTTGCAGTGGGTGGAATGATAGGCCTCTGGCCTCCACTCTGTCTACTGCTACCCTTGCTCAAGGCTGCTCAACCAGGGAGGAGACGGGCATCTGGCAGGGTAGTCACTGGGGCCAGAGGGAATGGTCAGTCAGGACACATTCTGGAAGAACACTTGCTGGATTTGCTGCCATGGCAAGTGTTCAGATCTCTCACTGTGATTGTCTGTTTCTCCTGTCAGTTCCAGTTCTTTCTGTTCCAACAGCATTTCAGAGCTGTGTTCTTTGATGCTTTTATGTTTAGCATTGTTGTATCATCCTGTTAACCTGACCATTTGGTCACTGAGATGTCCCTCCAGTCTAATGAGTTCTCCCGCCTGGGGCTGTGCCATCTGATGTGAACGGCCCTAGCAGACGTGGGTGGTGCTCTGGCTTCTGGCCTCGCATTCACTCTGCGTCCTTGGACTTGATGTGTAAGTCCTGTGAATGAACACAGCTGGGTTTTGTCACTGTATCCAATCTCACACACTGAATCAGGGTATGCATTCCACTTATATTTAATATGCTTGCAGATACACTTGGTTTAAATCTACCATTTGCTTGTCTCCTGTGTGTACCATCTGGTTATTTTTTCTTTCTTCTTTGGGATTAGTGAAAGTAGTTATTAGCCCAATTTCTTCTTTATCAATTTTCTGAACATGTTTATTGCTTTTAGTGGTTACCCTAGAGATCACATGACAGATGTCAGAGTCTACTTATTTATTTAGAGATGAAGTCTTGCTCCATCGCCCAGGCTGGAGTGCAGTGGCACCATCTCAGCTCACTGCAACCTCTGCCTCCTGGGTTCAAGCAATTATCATGCCTCAACCTCCTGAGTAGCTGGGACTACAGGCACACATCACCACGCCTGGTTTTTTATTTGTATTTTTTTAGTAGAGACAGGGTTTCACCATGTTGGCCAGGCTGGTCTTAAACTGCTGACCTCAGGTGATCTGCCTGCCTCAGCCTCCCAAAGTGTTGGGATTATAGATGTGAACCACTGGGCGTGGCTCAGAATCTCCTTTAAATCCATAAATCCATGCTTTCACCCCTTACAGGACAGTGCAATCATTATTTCCCTCCCAGCTTTTGTGCTTACTGTCCATGTGTCATACGTCTACCTGTATTTTAAACCCTAAGAGATAGTTTTAGGCAGTCCACTATTTATTTAGCTTTCCCGTTTCCATTCCTTTTAGGAATGTTCCTCTTTCCTTCCCACATCAAATGTCCACCTGGAGAATTCCCTCCAGGATATATTTTAGGCCTGGTTGGCTGGTGACACATTTTTAAAATTTTTTATTTTGCCCCCAAACTTAAGTTTACCCTCACTTTTGAAGAATCTTCACACTGGGTATAAAAATCTAGATTGGTAATTATTTCCTTTCAGCATTTTAAAGCAGCCACTCAACTGTTCCAGCTATTTGTTTTAGAGAGTCAGCTGCCAGCTTTATTGCTCCCCTGAAGGTAAAAGTGTCTCTTTCTCTTTGGGTTTCAGCACTTTGCCGTGATGTGCCTAGGTGCAGGTTTTTTGTCACTTTTAATTTATCCTCTTTGGGGTTCAAAGATATTAACACTTGTGGGTGATGTCCCAACAGTTGTGGAAAGTCTTCAACTGTGATATCATCCAAACGGCACTCCACCACTTCGCTCCCCTCTTCTGGGACTCCCATTGGCTGTGTGCTGCAGCTTTCTCTTGCACTATGTCTCTCAGGCACTTTTCACCTCTCTGTAATCTAATGTTTTCTACTGGCTTGTCTTCCAACACAGTAATCCTTTCATCTCTATGTCTAATGCAATATTAACTACATCTAGGCAACTCTTCATTCCTTATTGTGTTTTTCAGCTTCAGCATGTTTACAGATTCTTACCCTCTAGCGGCATTCTCCACCTTCTCATTCATATTGAATGTATAAATCATCAAGTCCATGTCTGAAACCCTGGTATTTGGATCACGTGTGACACTATTTCTGTTGTCTTCTTATTCTCTTTCCTTTCAGTCATTTGGTTCTTTTTTTTCCAGTGTGTCTCGTCAATTTTTATGAGAGTCAAACCGTTTATCTGTAAAGTTATAGGAGCTCTGATCTTTTCATTGAAAAAAAGTTTAGTTCTCCTCTGGTAGAAAGGTGAGACAGGGCAGATCACCCTGAGGCAGTCAAGGCTGAGATGACTCAAGCCACATCCAGACTTGGTGAGGGCTGGGCCCTCTCCAGTTTGCCCTTCAGGGGTCTCGCCTGGAAATCTCAGCATTTTCTCAATGGCAGGCGCTGAATTCCTGTTTTGTCTCCCTTGCCCAAGGATGTCTCAGCTTTCCAGGCTTTTGCTACTATCTTTGGGTTTTTTATTTTTTTTTCAGATGGGGTTTCACCATGTTGGTCAGGCTGGTCTTGAACTCCTGACCTCAGGTGATCCGCCCGCCTTGGCCACCAAAGTGCTTGGATTACAGGCGTGAGCCATGACGCCCGGCCTATCTTTGGGTTTCTAAGCCTCCTGCCTTGAGCACAAGCAGCCACCAGGAATGGGTACCTGCTGCAGGGTAAGCTGCACACACAGTTCTCCGAGGCACCGGCGTCCTGCATGGAACTCACCCTTCTCCGAGGTTCCGGCATCCTGCAGGGAACTCACCCTTCTCCGAGGCTCCGGCGTCCTGCAGGGAACTCACA